GATAGAGGATATTTTGAGCTACAGGCTGTTGCTTAACTCAGCAGATGGATATAACAATACATTTAATACATTTGGCATAGGCTGAATGAGGAAACGGTGCTTTTTTAGTAATAACTGAAAAAAGTGCAGAAACCACCTTCTCAACAAAAAATTCTTATGAGAAAGCTAAGCTATGTTTTCTGACTGCATTATGCAGGCATATCAGTTTTTCAGAGGATTTGACAGAAACTCTGTATATGTCACAGAAAGAAGCAGAACTGCTGCAGAAATATGCAGAGATGGGAGCCATGTAGATAGTTAAAGAGATGCTTCCAGCATGACCCTGAGAGAGCATTTGTCTGGGTAGGAGGTGGGCCTGGAATTGTGAGCAAAGAAACTGTCGCCCACTGTTCTGACTTGTACTGTGTTCCAAGAAGCAAATTTTTACATACTTTCTCTGTAAAAAAAACCCCACGATTGCATCACAGAAATACCTGATTGCATTTCTTGCCTGGTCAGAAACTATTTTGGCAAATGAATGGCTCGATAGGGAGGATGTTGTTTATGGGAGTAACTGTATTAAGGGAGAAAACATTAATATTGCATGGGTTCCTCCAGGAGCGTTACTGGAATCTCCTGAAGTTTCATACTGTTATCGAGTTCATCGTCACTGAGAGTAATGACTGTGACTGATGTATCTAACACACTGAGCTCTTGCCTGAGATAAAAGACTAAGGTCTGTTAGTGGGCATTAGCACAGGCTTATCAACCCAGTCTGTGTAGCTCAGCACATACTAAAGGGAGACTGGAGTACTGAATAGCTGAATGTGGGTTATACAGATCTTTCACAAAATGTGGAAAAGATCAGTTTAGTTTTGTGGTCAGCATAAATTGAAAATGAAGTAGAAGATAGAATTGAAACTGCAACCAGATGGACTTCTGGAATAGCTCAAAGAAAGATGATGTTTTAAATGTAGCAGCTAATAAAATTTGAAAACAAATACTATTTCAAAAGTAGTAGATAATCTGTCCTGTGCTCTCCTGAGCTGCTAGAGAAGAATCTTTTTCAAAACATCAAGCAGGCTTTCCTGATACAAGGGTTTCTTATAGAGTCTTACAGATGTTACTACTATCCTGTATAACCCATTTGTCAAGCTGTTGAAGTAGAAGATCCAAGAGGAGAATCTTGCACTGATTCTAAGACAAAAATCTCTTACGCTGAAACTTGTGGTTCCAGTATTTGGTTTCTTGAAGCTGCAGTATCTTCACCCTACTTATCCATGTACCCTTGTGAATAATCTCTTGGATCAAAAGGACTGGAGGAAACATTTAGAGGAATTCCTGAGCTTATGCGAAAAGTCACGGATGCTGGATCCAGCTTGTGCTCTCAAATAGAGACTAAATCACTTGATGATGCCAAAGAGTTTTTAATGAAACTTGCATATATATGGAACAGACAGTGCAAGATGAATTCTTGAGGGTTCATCTGTTCTGCAAAAATAAGGGCTTGCACTAAGCAATAGTAGCACAATAGAAAAACTTGCTTTAACTTGGTGCTCAAGCTAAAAATTAGTTGTGAGTTACTGTTTTACTTAGAACAGAAAATGTATCATTATCTTTTGATGGTCATTTATGTTCTACCCAGGATTTCTTTATTTCACATTAGGATGGCTCTGACCTCAGTGAATAAATATGAAGAAGCAGTTACAAGTTACCAAAAAGCACTGGATCTTGATCCAGAAAATGATTCTTATAAGTCAAATTTGAAAATAGCAGAACAGAAATTGAGAGATGTGTCCAGTCCTGTAAGTTAGCTCTGCATCTATTTATTTACAATAGTTTTAACTGGGATTTTGTAGGTAAACTTATCTTCAATTGTAATTTTTTTGTAGACTGGAACTGGACTGAGTTTTGACATGGCAAGCTTGATAAACAATCCTGCCTTCATTAGTATGGTGAGTATATTTCAAGCTTTACATTATATTGTTTTTAAAACTGAAGTTTTAAGAACAACTCTTGTTTAATAACACAAGTGATTTTAATGCTTATTATAATGGCAATGGTTTCATTATATTGAATTTAAACTTTTCTAAGTCATTTTACACTCAAACCAAGAAGTGAAGCATAAATCTCCTATAATGCCTGACTTATTTCCAATTGATTCTATCCTACTTATGAACAACAACATGCATAGATTAGCTATGCTGTCTTTATAGATAGCATGAATAGCAAAACACTTGTCAACAGCATGGTGAAAATATCTTTTCTATTCTCCACATAGCAGTTAACAATGAATACAAAGAAATCACCTCTTAAGTGAATAGCAAACACACGGCGCTTTCCTTTACTTCCAGTACAATGGCAAATTGTGGTTTTGTCCCTCAGTAGTTTTTCTCTATAAATGCCAAATTGTATGAATTAACTTTGAAGAATAGAATTTGGAGAAAAAAATGTAAAAAATTCTTATTTCCTTTGAGAACTCAGTTAAAACTTTGCTACCCATCTGGTAGCTTCATTAGGACAGGATATTTTAACCAGTGCTTCAGCGTGGAAATGCACTGCATGCAAGCGATCAATGCATCTGGTCTGATAATGTGGTCCAAATAATAGAGATGGTAGGCAAGGAAGAAGTGAACGAGTTCTCCAAAGGCATTAGTGATTAAATAGCACTTGAACTCCATGTACCACTTCAATGGCCACGTGACTTATTCAGACAGTCTGCATCTATTCAGAGACAAAGATGTACTCTTCAATATGGAGCTAACTATATGGAAAGGATTTTTGCATCATTTCCAGAAGATGCATGGTCAAGTGGATAGAACACGGCATTCAGCCAGGAATGAATGATTTTCCTGTGGTGTGTTTTTTTTGCTTTGTTTTGTTTTGAAGGAAAAAAATTGACTCACTGTCTGACCTTGAGAAAGTTATTTCTCCATTTTGGGCCCCTAACCTAGATCAAACTTGTTACTGATGGAAGAGAAAAAAATCCTATACTTACCGTAGAACTGACCCGAAGTTGGCATTTTATATCCAACTGTAGAATAGAGAAAACAGTTGATTTACTTTTGAGATGTTGTATGCAAATATATCAATTGATAAAATTAATACTGTATATGTCTGGTTTTTGTAGTACTTTTAATAAGATAGTGAATGAGCAGATACTGCGTTGTGCCTATTGATCTTGTATTCATACAGACACTGATTTCTGTAGGAATTACATTACTAACTTTAAACCATCACCTGGTTTATTCTATAGTATCTGTCCATATACACCCTTACAC